CATGGGCCAGCAGCATATGCAGATTGTGATCTGCAAAGCTCAAAGAGGCTCTCAGCCCTTGACTACCCAGGCTTTACACCTACACTAGCCACAAAGCGTGTTCAGGTGTAGATGCGGCCTTTGTGAAGCGAGCGGCTCTGCTGTGCTGCTCGCGGCTCTTTTGAGTCCTGCTTTAACCTTCATCCCCAACAGCGGCTCTTAGAGCACTTATGCTGCGGTCTGGGGAATCAAAGTTGATTGGTTTTTGAAGCCTCCTTGGGTCAATTTGAAGTAGTTGTCGCTACAACCCCAGCACGTGCTTGCTTGATCTCATCCGAGTGCTTGCTGGTGGGGCAGGTGAAAAAGAATAGCTTGGCGTCCTCGCCATCGATGATCACCAACACAAGCCCAAACAATTCTACCCAGAGACTCAATTATAAGCTTACTAGGGTTCCTACTATAATTTAAGGTATATTCGTTAGTTAAGGGATATTGGAGGCTCTGGGTACTACTGCACCCTTCACGATCCTAAGATATCCTCAGCGCCTGAAAACCCCTTCCAAGGCCCAAAATCTAACGAGATCCTCTGCATATCCGGCCTCGAGCCAGCATGCCCCGAATACCCCTTGATAGAGGCCATATGGTCCTTTACAGCTGGTATCGAAGATAGGAGCCTTAATAATTAGAATAGGGTTTTGGGGTATACCGTACGATAATTATAATAAGGAGCTCCCAAATGGTAGAGGCAATTATTCAGACCCCTATACTAGTTGCGGGGGTGTTGGACAACCCACAGACCCCATAGATCTCCCCTGTATCCTGTTTATATCCGGCTTTTGGGATTCAGGGTTTAGGGGACTATCTCGTACTATTGATAGGTTTTTTGGTTGAGGGCTTAGGGCTGAAAGGGACTATCGCCCTACTACTGGTAGGGGGTTTAGGGTTTTTTTTCGGGTTTATAGGCTTTCGAAACTCCCCTAAACCCCCCAGGTACCTACTATATAGGGCCCTACCGTAGGGGCGCTAGTACCCTATATAGTAGGTACTTGGGGGGTTAGTGCTCCACAGACTCCTAAACCCTAAACCCTGAACCCTGAACCCTAAACCCTGAACCCTGAACCCTAGACCCTAAACCCTAAACCCTAAACCCTAAACCCTCGCGCCTTGGCTTTGAAGAGGTCCA